AGCATGGCAGCCTAGTGGCACTGTAGCATGGCAGCCTAGTGGCACTGTAGCATGGCAGCCTAGTGGCACTGTAGCATGGCAGCCTAGTGGCACTGCAGCATGGCAGCCTAGTGGCACTGTAGCGTGACAGCCTAGGGAAACTATAACATGTTAGCCACATAGCACTAATTGACAAGTCTATTAGTTTACTTGATGCATAATTGAACAGAAGTTAATTCAAACAAAACATTCTCAAATAACGATGCAATACACATGGGATACTCACCAAGTCGGTCCACCATTGTGACGACCAGTCTTGCCAAGATGTGTCGAGTCTACCAGATTCCCCCAGAAATAAGAAACTGAGGAGCAGAACCAAAACAGCATTTCACATATGCCAAAGCAGTTGATCACTAAAGCTATAATGTGTTAGTCAATCTAATGAATGTGAATTGTGTTAGTCAATCTAAAGTGAACATATTTTCTTGTGAAGTTTGAGTAAAATTCAAAAAACCAACCATACATGGCCTAGTCTTGAAGCTGAACCATATTGTTTATATTGCAATATGTACCACAATGTACATTGAAATTTCATTGATGATGAGCTGCTTAAAGCTTGAGGGCCCATTTCAGTGCCACCATGATATTAAAGTATTAGTTAGCAAACAAGATACAACTCTTAATTATCAACACAGAATAATTGTAGTTGCATGTGTCCAAAAAGACACCTCCAAACTTGTGGTCTATCTTTGTACTATGAATAAGTGATAAAATCGGGAGTGCAGCCGTGGGTAATAAAATTGACTCGTGAACAGGACCTGGCCTAACGCCAACCATCAGCATGCAATATCTACACATAGCCTCAGATCAATGAGCTGTGGGTAACTCCGGCTAACAGTAAATCCGCTTTGCACAACACCGCCACTGCTCCACAGCGCCACAGCGCAACTGGCCGGAGCGCAACAGGCCCTACCGCAACAGGCGGCGCAGGTTAAGTTAGGTTAGGTTACGTTAGGAGTAGCTGTTGCGGTAGGGCCTGTTGTGCCCCGACCAGTTGTGCTCCGGCCTGTATGCGCTGCGGCCTGTGACTGAACGGTGCTGTTGTGGTGGGCGCTTTGTGTCAAAAGGAATGAAGATGCCCAGCTGTGTTACGCTCGGGAAGGTATAGGTATGAATCGCACTGACGGCACTGTGGACTTGGGCTATGCTGATCTCTAGCTATCCACCCATAAGATCAAGCTAGTACTATCTGAAAATTGACCTTTCTTATAAATAATTTCTTAATGCTTTCTACATAAAAATTTTTGGCATCTGCTATCTACATAGATTGTGCCTCAAAAATTATTTGACAGTGGACTGGCATGCTCAACCTCTAAAATGCCATAGGTGAAACAATAGCAAAGTTGACACCTCAAGTTTAACATTTCAACTTCTAAATCATTCCTATCACTATAATTTGCCAATTAAAAACATTTTGCCGTAGAAGGCAAAGAGCTAATATAGCTGAGGTATAAATAAGTGAATATATGATTAATAAGGCAGTTGCTGAATGAGCAACATTGACCATCAGATTTAAGCATGGCGGATGAGTAACAGCCAGAACAGAAGATGGATACTGATTGAAATAGACCATCAATAAATATAGTGTCAATCAGTTAGTTGATTGAAGCAGAAATTACATATGGCTACCAATCAAGATGCTGAGTGCGGCCAGATATCTCAAAAATTTCTGCAGACAAAAAAAGCCTATAATACAATATTTACCATTGAATTTATAGTTTCTGGGGCAAAATTAAATAATCCATCTTTCTTTCTTTTTATCAAATTTAATAAGAAAGTACCATCACAAATTTTTGCTAGTCAATGCAATTGAAAAAAAAAACTAAATCATGGAATTTGTCGGGATAAAAGACCCTGCAACCCACCAGTGGATTGTACCGCAGTCAACGTGTTAGAGACTGGAAATGCTCAATGGAAAGCTTATAGCCTAAGATGCCAACATCCTAACTTAATAAAAGCTCTTTATTTACTGTCTAGCCAACTCAGGGTGCAGAAATTGGAAAAATATCAGATGATATTAAGTGGCATTATTGGAAAAATTCTACACTTTACAGTTTACAATAGCTAACATCATGGCTTCAAAATCATAAATTTTAATTTTTTTTTGAAAGTTGGAACTTTGTGACTTGAATATGCAAATAATGCAATAAACAATCAAATAGGAGATAATTGTTCTAGCTGTTCAATAGGGGTTAGGCTTGCCGGCTGCCGCTAAAACATTCTTATCATGGCCTTGGCCTGGAAGCAAGATGGTAAACTCCTACCTTGTACCTACTTTTTAATAAATAACTAAAATTAGATTTTCTACCAAATTCTCCAGTGAGTTCCCATTAGATAAAATTCTTTCAATTTTATTGATTCCTAGCCTGCCACAGTTACTCGTATCAGGCTCACCAGCCACCAGGCTGGCAGCAAGATCCCAAATTTCCAAATGAATCACAAATACACAGTGACTGTCACACCATCACTGCTCACTGGGAGTCTGGGCCTGGGCCCCATAAACAATTCTAGGATAGGTAGCCCGCTGAGGCTCATCATTGGCGATTTGGCAGTTGGCTCATACGAAAATTCAATCAATCACAATTTCTGGTCCATCTGTTATGATCTGTGATCTGTTAACCAATAAGTTGGCAACTTGGCAGTAGCTACCTAACCAGTAATCACCAGCTTCTCTTCTCCAAGTTCAAGAACACAACATAGAGCCTTAATTAGTCAAGAAGGCTCAAACTCTACTCTAGTACCCACAGGTGATGGGACTCGTCTTCTTGTCGTAGACTTAGCATCACAATTAAGTATTCACGAGTCTTTGGAGTTAACGACTCAAGTGTCGTATTATCAAGTATCAACATAGTCTACCTGTCATATTCACAACATAGTCATTTAAATGATTTAATCATTTTAATGACATAGCAATCACCCTTCCAGAGATAAAAATTTACGCCTAAACAGCCATTCGTTGAATAAAAACTAGCATTTCGAGAAAGAATTTCCAACTTACTTTAGCTGCTGAAAAACTTGTCTGTAGTTGTCACTGGGCACTTCCGATTTAGTTTTCGCTCATCACGAGCTCGGACACTCGAGTAGAAAATTTACGGAAAAGTACAAACGGAAAGCTCACATGAATATAATAAATTATAACTTAATTCTCCGAAACCTTGGAATAATAATCAAAATTATCGATAAAAAAACAATACATGCGCAATCTACGGGGTGGCAACGGAGATAGGAAGAGCAAAGCAGAAAGGATAAAGCTTTCGTCAAAAACTCCTTCCTTCAACGAGAGACGAGACCGGTTACCGGTATAAGAAAATTGTTCAACAGTTAATAGCGTAGTTGATCCCTTCGAAGTGCCGGCAAAGCAGTGGTGTGCAGATTTTGCAAGGCTACCTCCCGTTTTACACGGTGATTTACTAAACAATGTGGTGTTTGGTGTCAACATGGTTGAACTTATATACGGTTGACCCACGACGATGACGATTTTTCGCCGTTCTGCGCATCTCTAGACTAGAGTGACGTCACAGTGGGCACAAAATATAAATAGTGTAGATCAACACATTGTCTTTATGTCATCTTTGAAGCATTTTAAAAAAATTACCTCATCATAATGGCCTAAAAATTGATTTACTGCATGCAACTAGTCTTTTTTAAGCAAAACCGGTGTTACCAATCAGTTTGACGTCAAGAGGTGACGTCACAAGAGACAAAGTGACGTCACAGTTGGAATAACAAATGACATCCGCAAAGTGCAGCTGCACTAGGGAAAACTTTGTATTAGTTCAACCATGAAAAAATTGACCTCATTAGAATGGTCCAAAAAAAACATTTACTGCAACTAGTCTTTTTTTAGGCAAAACAAGTGTTACAAATCAGTTGAATCTCACTGTGACAAACAACAGTCACAGGTCACTCGTCGACGTCATGTGGTTACGTCGAGAACTTCGCTGCCTTAGCCTTCCTCCACGGCTGGTAAACTGAAGAAATGCATTCCATTGTCCATTTTTCTGTTAAAATAGTCGTGAGAACGACTGGTAGATCCAACAACGACGCAGTATAACGTCCCATCTGCCATCTTCAAGCAAAAACTTCAAAAAGAGACATGTACAGTAGCTTGAACACGTAGGCGAAAGCTAGACCGTGCAACAGATATGGCGGTCGATCACACAAGGCATCTTGATATTGATATTGTCAATTAATAGCAGTTTTGCCCAATTTATAACGTGTTTTTGTTTTTTCTGAGACTGATTTTCTAGCTTACTGCAATATCAAAGTGATTGTGCGAATTAATTCAATTGTCTATGAATTAGGAAACAATTACTATTTCAAATTCACTTGTGTAACGTAACCAGGCAGTTTGTATTGAATATTCCTAAGCGTTTTGAATTGCTCAATCGTTGCCGACTAACGTTTCGGAGGAATTTCCATTAAGATTAATTTTAAGTTCTGCCTTCTTACGGTACTCTGTTTTGCAGAGCACGTCATGTGAAGATGGACTGAAAAGAAGTACATTAAGATCACAAAAATCTGTATTTCATTCTCCGCGAACCATCTGCAGCCTCTGGCAATGAGGCCGCGTCACAGTTGTTTGTTGCTGTCGTGCCCCGAACCTAGAGTTTGGAAACGTCGTGTTGTCACCGAAACTTGAAAAGGACAAAAATTTAATAGAGAGTGTTCAAAGACGTGCAACAGGCCATGGGCCTATTTCTTCAACGCCGACACTTCTATTCTATTCTAACAAGGATAATTCCGGGCTTGAAAAGCAAGTCCTATGAGGAAAGATTGAAGATTATGAAGCTTCCAAGCCTCACTTATCGACGTCTGCGTGGAAACTCATTGAAGCATACAAGTATACTCATGGCTTATACAAGGTCTCAGAAGGATTACTAGAATTTGAAACAAGAACCAACACCAGGGGCCATGGCTATAAACTAAAAAACTGCGTTGTAACACATCCATGCGACAACATTTCTTCTCGCTTCGAGTCATCGTCATGTGGAACAGCCTTCCTGATGGCATCGTTGACGCTCCAAGTATGAACGCCTTCAAGAACAGACTAGACGAAGCTATGCAGGAGCATATGTTCAGTCTTAAAATGCCTAGCAAATTACGGACCAGGCAATAGGTCCAGCAGCTATCTCAATCAATCGCCAGTTATGGAAAGGTCGGGTTCCAAAGGCCGGATCTCTTGTGAATCAAGTCACGAAAAATTCAAGAATCGGCAACAGGTCATGGGCCTATTTCTTCAGTGCCGACACTTCTATTCTATTCTAAGGCATCTCGTCATTCGGTCCCGCGACGTCATTCTTGCGAGCCTGGTAATTTACAATTCTTAACGAATGTCTAATGATGTAAACAAACTCGGTCAATTTATAGCGGCACTAAATATCGTCGGAAAGGTCGCCCGTCAAGGTCATCTGCCGTACGTTAATGCTCGTCAGAAGTCCTACAAGATTTTGCGCCCTTAAGAGCATTGTTCCCTAGCTCTCCATCATTAAAAACTCACGGTATCTAACTACGGATCACAGTTGTGGGGTTAATTTCGGACATGATTGCTAAAATTTATTTTTTTCTGGCTCTCGTGCTGGTGGCAGACGCTATTTGTAAGCGCCTCTTCTTTTAACTTCGTCTCTCATAGATGTTAAAGCTACACCTTTCTAGCATCTTCAGCGGCATGGCCATTTGAGACCTTCCGCTTCTTATGACCTTCCGAGAGCACGAGCGGCAATCCGGAATGGTCGCGGGTAAGTTAATTCCTACGAAGAAAGTTACTCGTGTATTATTATGACGCAAAACACTCATTACTCCACCCGTAAGGAAGGAAAACGAACAAGGCATTACTTAGAAAAAATATGGACTAATGACGTTGAACATGAAACAATGTTAAGCCTCCAGATAGCAGAATATGAAGTTAAGTGGGCCGATAAACCTGAAATAGACGCATGTTACACAATACCAGCATCAAAAGCAGCCGAAGCAAAAATCTCCGAATGAGTTACAAAAATACAGCATACAATAAGAAGTTTCAGCCATAACATAACATAGTGATGTCAGCGCTAAAGAGTAGGCCTGATGTGGCCTGTCGCCGAATCTTGAACTTTTCGTGACTTGTTCATAGAAGATATAAATCTTGTCATTTGACCGGATATTTTCAAGACTGACGATAGTTTGATATAGCTACTAGACTTCCACCGGGTTCGATATGGCGCTAATCATTCCAAATCTGAACATATATTCTTCCATAGCTTTATCTAGTCTGTTCTTGAACGCGTTCATACTCGGAGCGTCAACGATGTAAATCATGTAATCAGGGAGGCTGTTCCACATGTCGGTGATTCGAAGCGAGAAGAAATGTTGTCGCGTGGACAAGTTGCAGCGCATTTTTTTTTTAGTTTATAGCCGTGGCCCCTGGTGTTGGCTCTTGTTTCAAATTCTAGTAATCCTTCGGGGACCTTGAATAAACCATGAGTATACCTGTATAATTCAATGAGGTCTCCACGCAGACGTCGATAACTGAGGCTTGGAAGCTTCATAATCTTTAATCTTTTTTCATAGGACTTGCCCTTCAAGCCTGGGATTATCCTTGTTGCACGTCTTTGAACATTCTCTATTAAATTTTTGTCCTTTTCAAATCTCGGTGACCACACAACGTTTCCAAACTCTAGATTTGGGCGCACGACAGCAACAAACCAATGCTTCATCGCTTCTGCATCTAGGAACTCGTAAGAGCGTCTGATTAGTCCAAGAAGTTTGTTGGATGTATTAGCTTTCGTTTCAACATGCTTAGAAAATTTCAGCTCCTTGTCGACATAAACTCAGAGATCTTTTTCCACACAGGCCTTTCAATCATTACTCTCTCGTTGTAACCATGTCTTCTCATACTGTAATTATGCTGTTCATTGTTCTTCCCGAGATGAAGTACTTTACACTTGTCTGCATTAAACCGCATCTGCCACGTATCAGCCCAGGGGCCATACTTTCAAAACTCGCTATGTGAACGTAAGTACTTACGCTCTATTTTCTTGTCTATGATTGGTGGATTTTGCTTGAAAGGCCGTCAATGATTGACTGATGAACTTACGATCTCTTAAATTTTTTTGAAAGTATAGGCCCAGTTAACTAAACTGTCAAGGTCATCTTGCAGTTGCGCTTTATTTGACGCATTCTTCACTGTATTATAAACTTTTGTGTCGTCGGTATACATGGAGCACACGCTGGACACTACTTCTGGCAGATCGTTTATAAAAGCAACGAACAAAATAGGCCCAAGAACGCTTCCTTGTAGCACGCCTCTGCGCACTGATGCCCAGTCTGACACGGTTCCGTTAATATTGACACGTTGTCGTCTACCTACTAGAAAATCTTTGATCCATTGCAGTACGTTTCCCTCAATTCCCAAAGACTTCACTTTACTCAACAACCGCTCATGCGAAACACTGTTAAATGCTTTGACAAAATCGAGATCCAATGCATCCACTGGCTCCCTTTCGTCCAGCAGGCGAGTCCAATCGTTCAACGTAGATAATAAGTTAGTGGTGCAGGATCTACCGGCAATAAAACCATGTTGAAAATCTGATAGGAGATGGTGAGCAGTCAAGTGATCGATAATCCTATCCCTCACAACAGATTCCATTGGCTTACAAACAACACTTGTCAGACTGACAGGGCGATAGTTGCCGGGGCTACTTTTGTCACTTTTTTTGAACAATGGTGTTACTTGAGCTTGATATGATGCACATGCAAATTCATTCGGCGGCAGTAAAAGAAGGTTTAGGAGTTAGGCTGAGTAATGATGCGATTTTTTTTCTAATTGTGCGACAGGTATGTCGTGGCATATTTTGTTCGAAATGTGAATTATACATTCGACAATATTGCGAATATTATTGGCATATTGTGCGGCCAAACATCGCAGAATTACAGCCTCGGAATATATCTTGGTCGCGGTCTGTACTTTTATTTAGTACATACTCAAATGTGCGGCAGGGAAAAGATGAACGCAATTATGCGGTATGCTCATTAACATCCACCTCGTTAAGTTAGGGCTAAAGTGTAAAAAAAACCTATTTTACTGTCACATTCGCCTGAACGTGTAAAAATAGTCTTAATCAATCATTGATCTAAAAGCTCAAGAGCGTCACTATAAAATCGGAATGGTACCATAAACGTCGTGTTTAAAATACTAAACGCGAAGTATTTCTGATATTGAAGTTGAATACGCTAAATCGGAGGATTTCCCTCCCGGAAGTTGGAAGCCAAGCCCCGACAACTCTGAGCGGGCAGGGCCGGCAG